ATATATATATATATATATCAGGTTGATTTTCATGACTCTTTGAACATGTTTTATCTCATGCCGTTGCAAATGTGTAAAAAAACCCTTTGTTAAAGAACAACAAATGAACATGGATTTAGTACAAAATGAACGAAAAATTAACATTGGATTAGTATACATAAACGACTGAAGAATTTATGTGTTTCAATTGCCTATAGATATGTAATTACATTTGAAAAAAAAACAAAAAACAAAAAAAAAAAACAAAAGAAAGAAAGAAGAAAAACGGGCTCTTCAAATTTAGCTCTTATCTCCACAATGCCTTCCTAAAATCTCTTGTAAGTCCTGAGGTCTGCAAGGAACCACAAGAATACTGGTTTGTTCGAATCCGTATTCTTCCTCAGCTTGTTCAAGTAGTCTCAGAAACGCAGGGCTACTTAAGTACTTAAGCTTAACAACAAATCTCCTTTTCTCATCGCCCTTCACCGCCAAGACCGGGAAATGCTCTTCCTTCACATCATCTGGTACTGTCATTGTCACTTCCAGTTCTTCTTCATCAAAATCACTGTCTTCGGCTACTCGGGATGCTGCTAAAAGCGATAAGCGCTTTCGCAGTTTTCCCGTGAATTTCCAAAGCCTAGGGAAAGCTGAAGCTCTTTCTTCTCCGTAGTAATTTTGAGTACACATGATTGTTGACGATAAACTAATTAAACAAGCTTCTTATGATTTGAAAGTTGGGATGGTTCTCTCTTTGTTCCTTGTGATGGACATTTTATAGCGTCTTCTTGAGTTATATGAACAGTAACATGAAAGAAATTTGACTGTGGTCCAATTATCACTCAATAATTTATTTTTGTCTCACTTGTACTCTTAGTTGCACGCGGTAGACACGCGGTATTCTGAACACACATTTTTTCACAAGTAGGTGCCAAAAAAGAAAAATTCTCTGTATATGATAATATAAAAAGCAAGATATTTGTAGGCTCCGTTTATTTCACTGATTTGAGTTTAGAATTCGAGTTTTGCTACAGTAAAAAGTTCTCAGAAATAGTCACATCTAACTTTTTTGCTACAGGAAAAAAACTCTCATAAAATCACATCTCAACTCGAATTAAAAACACGAATTAACGAACTAAACAGACTCATAAATTATGAGCTTAACTACATAAGTTAATTATCTTATATTGTTGTGCCATAGAGTCTACAGTTTAAGAATGTTGTGCATTACACTAGTACTGACCTTATCTTATATTGGATGAGGAGAGAGATGTCTCAATTTAAAAGGATGAATTAACACGACATGCCATGAATTACAACACGACAGTATGACTTGCGACAACTGGAAAGACAGGTCCTTGAAAAAAGAAAGCTTGTAGCTCTTTCTTTCCGTAGTACTTTTTGGCAGACATTGTTGAAAAGACTAAACAAGCTCATCATTATTTGAAAGTTACCACATTTCTCTTATCTTATGAAATTTCTCTGGCGCCGATGCGAGATATTTTGCATGTAGTCGTCAGAACACGTTATTCAGTGCTGTATTTTTGTCTCACCTGCACTTACTTTCTCGGTAGTCACTGAAAACAAATTAAAATTCTTTAGAAAGAATAAGAAATAGTATTTTTAGTGTCGTACCATAAGATATGTGGGAGTGAGCTGAAGTAAAAAAAAAAAAAAAAAAAAAAAAAAAAAAAAAAAAAAGAAAAGAAAAGAAAGTTTATTGTGGCACCGTAATCTACAGTCTACAGTTCGATATTTGCCCTATTGTGGAACCGTACGCTTCTTGTTAGAATTCCATAAAATTTTATCGAACAAGAAATGTGTGTTAGTTGGAATAAGACGCTGTAATTCTATATTACCGAGAGTAATAAAATCATCGAAAAGAAATCAAACAAAAAACAAACACGTTAAATCTGCCATTTTTAGTAGTGAAGAGGTTCATTTCTACGTGAGATTACATCCACTTTAAACCGCTGCAATAACACATTATAATGATGAAGTTTACATGAGAAAATCACATACTTGACAATTCTTTGCATTTTCTCTAACCTCTCTAATGATTCGAAAATCTACACCCCTCCTTTTATAATGAAAGTCTAGGCAACCTGCTTTACAAGTCTGAATTTCTCCGTGTAAGGCAATAATTATAAGAGTATAATAGACTCCACAACTTAACAACAGGTTTTTTCTTTCTTTTTTCTAAGCAGAATTCCCATTATCCCGTATATTCACAGAGTTTTCTGCTATTTTCTTAATAATATCAATTTCAAACTGCATGGAAAAGGGATGAGGTTGTAGTAATTGAAGCTAGTAATACATGGCAATCTATAATTTCTTGAAAGAAGCTGTAGGCTCAAATAATTGGTCTCAGGTAAAATACTTCCAAAAGTGGATACTTATCAAGATTTCTCTCATTTTCTACTCACCAATTTTTTAGGATTTTATGAAGCTGAATGTGTATTATTTTTAGTTATCATCTGAGCCTGCGTACTCAATTCATATCCATAATTCACAATTGTCTCTTATATATCTGCACAATGTCTTTCTAAACTCTTGTGTAATTCGTCGGGGCTGCAACGAACCACAAGAACTCCGGTTTGTTCGAATCCGTATTCCTCCTCAGCCTGTTCAAGCAGTCTCAGAAACGTATGGCTATTTAAATACTTGAGATTAATTATAAACCTCTTTGTCTCAGAACCCTTCATTGCCAAGACTGCAAAATGTCCTTCCTTCACATCATCTGGTACTGTCGTTGGCACATCCAATTCTTCTTCTTCTTCGAAAGCACCTAATTCTTTGGCAGCTGATAAAAGCGAGAAACGCTTTTGCAGTGTTCCCATGAAAAGCCGAAGCCTAAGGAAAGACGTTGAGGCTCTTTCTTCTCCGTAGTACTTTTGGTTACACATGATTGTTGATGATAAGACTAAACAATATTAGCTGCCTATGATTTTGAAACTTGGGATGGTTCTCTTTGTTATTTGTGATGGAGATTTTGTGGTGGCTTTTTTGAGGGATATGATTAGTAACATTAACAAGCAAGAAAATATCACATGGGGTCCAATAAGAGAAAAACTGAAGCGGTTGTTGAAACTTATCACTCAATGATGTACTTTTGTCTCCCTTGTGATCTTAATTGCACACGGAAATTAGACGCGGTATTATTCAGAACACATTTTACTTGGCATGGTAAAAAATAAGTTCTCTGTACATAGAACACTATAGAAAGCAAAGTATCTTTGAATGAGCTGAACTACATAAGTTAATAGTTATCTTATTGTTGCTTTATGATCTACACTTTACACTTGAATTTTGTGCACTTTTGAGCTTCTTGATAGTTTGATTATTTGCATTACTTGATTGCAGAGCTCAATTGGTGTCTAGTTCTTCATTCTTTCTCCCTCTCTCTCTTAGCTTTTATGTTTGTGTTATTTCCTTAGATTTGAGATTGTATGATGGTCAGGATTCTTGGTTTATCTATTGTTTTTGTTACGCAATTCTTGATGTTACTTCTAGCTAAACTCTTTAGAGTTAGGGGTTTGACGTAGTTTTATCGTTGTTATGTTTTGAATATTCTAATGCTTGTTAATGAATTTTCACTTGAATTCATTTGTGTTTCTCTATGTTAATTAATGTTCTAATTTGTGTTTTCATAAATTAGAGATATAGATGTGTGGAATTAGGTTCAGGAGAGTTACTTTCACATGTTGGGATTTGGCAAACACAACCTAGAGTTAGTTGAGTTCAGGAGGCCAATTAATTTAGTTGAGTTCGGGAGGCCAATTAATTTGGGTAATCAAGATTGGGTTTACTTATTGGATACTTGATTCGGTTAGGCTAATAGGGATATTGCTTAATTGGTTTTGCATACTATTTTACTTGACACTCAGGAGAGGGAGTGAAATTACCTTTGAAAATTTAAGATTAATGAATTGATCGTGAAACTAATTAACAAGCTTAAGAATCAGACTAGCATAACTCCATAGAATGAAATTGAACCCCTAGCCGTCTTAATATCATAAGAGTTCTCTTTGATCCCTTTTGTCTTCTAATTGCATTTTACTTGCTTTGTGAGTTTCATTTTATTGCTTTAATTACTTTATTTACTCGAATTTGATTGCCTAGATAAAATTAGACTTATTGTAGTTGTGGTAGTTAGTTTGATTTGTAAAAATTCAATCATTGTGAGATGATATTCAACAATTTGTCACTATATTACTTGTTACAAACTGGTACAGTTGGGAGCACACACATCACGAAATATATATTCGCAACACTTATCTTTTTGACCCTTTAGGCTTTTAGCTACACAAGTATTTTCAGATCGTGGATGTCTTCTTAATTTAAGAGGACAAAATGTAGTCATACTTCAAAATGACCACTGCTTGTGGAAACGACAACATCTTGAGAAACAACAGCAATTTCAACGATCACCGCACAAAAACTATTCATGCAGCAATGTTGGAGTGCATTGTTATTTGTTATGTATTGGGACAGGATTGCTATCAAAACTTTGGCAAGTGGAGAGAACTAGCCTTTGCTGCTGACCCCGATTTTGGCAAAAGGACTTGTATTTTTATGGAAAGAGAATTAATTTTCGAAAGTGAGGGCTTTAGTTGATGGACATTTCGCGTTATTTTTCCATTCATTTGGCTGGAAAGTGTTCACATTTTTTTTTTTTTTTTTGGGTTCTCTGATAATGTCAACTAGAAAGATAAGGTGGATCACTTTTGTTCCCTTACTAACTAGTTGTGTTTGTTTTGCAGGTTCACTGCATATTCTATTAGAAATGTCAACTTCAATTAATTGGGTTCCCTTAGTGACATATTTTTTGCATAGTTTGAAATGTAACCAAGGATGAAAATATCAATATTTACATAAATATCGGTACTTAAATTTTACATAAATATCGATATCAGCAGAAATTGATGTAAAAAACAGAAATTCATACTAAAACACACTATTTTCAAATGAGACTTTAAAAACCTTAAAATATATAATAATACATTATTTAGATGAAACTCTCAATCAAAATACTAATTATTTGATAAATATGCAAGGTAAAGTGTAATCAAAATACCATAAATAATAAGCACATGTTTAAAAATTAAGTAAAATAGTTGAAGGTCAACATAATACATATACCATACATATATGGTTTCATACATGATGATAAATTATCAATATCAAAAGGATCTTTTAGGAGGGTGGAAGGTATTGTGAATACATTCTTACTTTAAACAATATTGATACAAAAACATAGAGTTTGAATAGTTTATTATATACTTTTGGACATGCCATATTTTTTAGATTTTTTATAAGTAAAATAATATATATAAAGTTGCAGAAATTTCTATGGAAATTTACCGATACGTACAGGGATTTTTCTTAAATTTTTATGATATTCGGTCATTTAACACTACGTTTTACTTGGAAGAAATTTTTGTGAAAATTTCGATATTTAGGGAAATACCTGAGGAAATTTTAAGATATTCTGCGGAAAAAATACTACACCCCTATTTCTATATTAGTACTTCCAAAATACGAAATTTCTGCGAAAATATCTGTAAAAATGTCGATATTTTCATACCTTGAATGTAACATATCAAAGTTCTTTTGTGAAGTCTGGAGGAAATATGCTTATATTTTTTATGCATGTCAATTGTACAACTTAAGTAAACGACTGAGTTTCAGAGCTTTCGTAGAGATGACTGGGCCAAGAGTGGGGTTATCTTACGTCAATGCAAATGTGAGGAAAGCATTGCAACCGCTAGCACACTTGACAAACGACATCACATGAATAGACGACATGAACGGTAATCAGCATTTAATCGATAACATAGATCAAAATACGACATTCATGTCAGAAACGACAACAAAACCAAAAAAGCCAAAAGAACTAAATTACAACAGAACAGAGAAAACTTTGGACAATCTTGGGAACGACATTAAAGCATAAACGAGAAAAGTAGGATTGAATAACATAAAAGGAAAAAAAAAAATTGAAAAATTGACAACAATAACACTGCAATATTCTTTGAAATGACAGCAATATAAAAAAAATGACATAAGTAAAGCAGATGATAAGAATCGGCAAAAAGGATTTAAAAAATGAAGAGAAAAATTTAAAATTGAGAAAAACGGCAGAAAAAGAATAAACGACATAAGAAAAAAAAACACAGACTTAGAAAACGACAAAAGTATTAAAATTTTTGAGTTTTTGATAATATTAAAATGGTATCTCAACGTTTTTAAAAATATATTTTTGGTACCATGAAGTTGATTTTTGAGACGTAAATTGACATTAGTACTCTTCTATTTAATTAACCAAAAACTAATAAATC